TCCCTGCTGCTAATCTACTCAGGGGCCTGGTGGCCATTCCCACTGCTTCTCTGGGGACTTGCCTCTTTCCTCCTTTTCTCCCAGTATACACACCGTAACCCCCCTCCTCCCCCCCTCCCCGCCCTGCCAGGACTCAGTTGCAAACTTTAAGGGGATGCAAAAAACCTCAGTAGTAAAAGTGAATCACATTTTGGTTTAATATTTTTTAAAAAACAACATTTATGCAGGAATATCTATGACGAGCAATATGCACTACCCACCTCTGATCCTCCTTGACACCAATGCCCGCTGTTTTCTTTAACAAAAATGCGCTGGGAGACAGGAAATGAGTCAAGGGCATGGATTTTTTTCTAATTATTCTTAATACCTTTTTTCATTCCTCTTTTTTGTTTAAAAATGTATTCTCTTTATATAGTTCACATTAACTTTACCAGTATTAACTTTTTTATGGGAAATTTCAAACATATTAAAAAATAGAATAGTATAGGCCTCCCTGGATATCCATGGGAAATTGGTTCCAGGACTCCAGGGGATACCAAAACTCCAGGGTGCTCAAATCCCTTATATAAAATGACATAGTCTTTGCATATAACCTATGCACACCTTCCCACATACTTTAAATCATCCCTAGACTACTTACAATATGTAATGCAATGTAAATGCTATGTAAATAGTTTATGCTGTATTGTTTAAGAAATAACAAGAAAGAAGTCTCTGTACATGTTCAAGTGCAACCATCATAGGCCTAACAACATAATGCATATCAACTTAAATGTAATTTTTTTTTTACTATTCTTCATCTTTGGTGAGGATATGGCACCTACAGATATGGAGAGCCCATGTATAATGAAAGCAAATGCATTCAGTACCCATTGTTCACAGTTAGTAACTCATGGTCAATCCAATTGTATCTACTAGAAGCCCGGTGCATGAAATTTGTGCACAGGAAGCCCCCATCAGGCTTGATCGGGGCCTTTTGGCTGCTGGCCTGGGCCTTCCTGATTTCACGCTGCCCCCTGGTGGTCAGTACATGTCATAGCGAGTGATCGAACTCCCAGTTGGTTGAACTCTGGAGGGGACAATTTGCATATTAGCCTTTTATTATATAGGACTGGAGGCTCAGTGCATGAAATTTGTGCACAGGTAGGGCCCCTAGCCCTGGCTGGTGATCAGGACCCACCTGTGGGGCAACTGGTGGGGTGATCAGGGCCACTGCTCACATCTGCCTTGGCCTGGCACAGCCCACTCACCTGGTCCACCACCCTGCTGTAGTCCCGCTCTCATTGGGGCTCATTGGGGCCAGCAGCACCTCCACTGCCGCCCACTGCCAGTGCTGCATCGCCGATGCCCACCATGTTCTGTACCGCCCCCTGGTGGTCAGCGCACGTCTAACTCCTGGTTAGTCGAACTCCTGCCCCTGGGGACAATTTGCATATTAGCCTTTTATTATATAGGATATCCTTACCCATTTCCCACCCTTAGAGATGATTTTTGAAGCAAATCTCATATATATCACTTTGTGCATAAGATTTCAAAGTGCATATCTACTAGGACTTTCTTTTTTATGTAAAACCACAGTACTATTTCATACCTAAAATTAATAATTCCTTAATATAATTTTATGTCCCATCCTTGTTCTAATTTTCAATTCTGTCATTGTTGTTTGTTTGTTTTTAACAGTTTGTTTGGATCAGGATCCAAATAAGACCTAATACCTAATGCTTCTTTCAAGATACTCTCGTTGCTTTTGGCTTTGACAATTTGATTATAATGTTTCTTGGTGTGAGTATCCTGCTTAAGATTTGTTGAGCTTCTTGGATGTTTATATTCATGACTTCCCTTAAATTTTAAAGGTTTGTTCATAATTTCTTCAAATAATCTTTCTGCTCCTTCCTCTCTCTTTGCTTTCTCTTTTTGCTCCTAATGAAGCATAGTAACCTCCATCTTGGGTAAAAACTGCTGTTTAAAATTTTAACCCTGCTACTCTGTAAACATTTGCTTCATTAAATAATAGGGAAAATAAGACTAATCCCCATTCCAGAGAGGCCATAAACTATGCCCCAGACAGAGTTGTCAGTGCTAGCACCAGGCCAGGCCTTGAGATATGATCTCATGGCCCTGTCCCAGCAAACAGGACTTTTTCTCAGAAGGTCTGGAAGTCTCATTCCAAATTTGGAAAACAAAGAGCTGAAAAACATATAAATAGGAAAGACTTCCACCAGATTGGGCTCCAGAATTTGAGAAGCAAGATTTCCTCTGGGCCCGTTAGCACTAGTGAAATGAAAAGGACTGCAAATAAATTTGGCTTATTGATTAAGGCATCCTTTGATTTACAATATAACACTCAGACTTCATAAATTCAATTGAATTATTTTAAAGTTACCTGTTCCTTTCTTCAGCCTGATCACATCTGATATTGAACCTTCTGAGTTTTTCATTTCAACTCCAGAGTTTGTAACTGGTACAGTTTTATAATTTCTTCCTGTTTATTGATATTCCCTATCTGATAAGACATAATTCTCCTGGTTAATCTTAGTTATTAGTCTATGATTTCCTTTAACTCTTTGAGCATATTAAAGACAGTTGATTTAAAGTCTTTGACTATTATGTCCACTGCCTGGGCTTCCTCAGGGACAGTTTGCTTGTTTTTTTAATACTCACCAGATGATATTTTTTTAAATTGATTTTTAGAGAGAGAGAAACATTGATGTGAGAAACATCAATTGGTTGCCACCTGTATGCCCCTAACCCGGGACAGAACCCACAACCCAGGTAATGTGCCCTGACCAGAAATTGAACCTGCAACCTTTTGGTGTACTGGATGATGCTCCAACCATCTGAGCATCCCAGCCAGGGCAGGGAAAAAAATTTTTAAAATATGTTTTATTGATTTCTTACAGAGAGGAATAGAGAGTTAGAAACATTGATGAGAGAGAAACATCGATCAGCTGCCTCCTGCAATCCATGCTTTTGTTCCGGCCCTTCGGTCCAGTTTAAGAAACCCATTGTGGCCCTCGAGTTAAAAAGTTTGCCCACCCCTGCCTTGACCAGAATCAAACCTGGGACCCTTGAGTCTGCAGGCCGATGCTCTGTCCATTGAGCCAAACGGGTTAGGGCAGAAAATTTTTATTTATTTCTTTTTCCTGTGAATAGGCCATACTTTCTTCGCATGCCTCATAATTTTTGTTATTGTTGAAACTGGGTATTTTTAATATTATCATGTGGAAATCATATTCTTGCCTCTCAGGATTTGTTGTTGCTGGAAATTGTTGGTTGTTTTGTTTGTTTGTTTAGTGACTTTTCTAAATTATTATTTTTTTAAAGTCTGCATTCTTTATCATCTGTGTCCACTGAACTCTGTGTTGTCCTAGCTTAGTGGTTAGCTGGTGTTTGACAATTACTTTAAATACCTGGAGCCAGTGGGAAAAAAAGAGAGAGGAAAGAAGAAAGACTCTCCCAGTCTTTGCATATTGGTCTGTGTGGGAACTCATTCTATGCTTAGCCAGGCAATTTACAACTCTTCATTAGTTTTCACTTCCTACTTGCACAAAGTCTGAAAGTCAGCCAGGGATGAGAGCTTTAGGTCTCCTCGGGTCTTTAAAGCACATGCATCCCATTCTGGGCATTAAGTGTGGCCTTCTCAATCCCCTGTATATTGGTGAACTTTAAAACGCCTGTATTTCCTCATGTATCTCTTTACCCAGCCTCTTCCTCCCAAGCTTCTCATTCTGTTACTGTTTGTCTTGCATGTTATCCTTTGCCTCAGGCTGCTGTAGCAAAAGCCACTCCACTCCTGGGAAGATTCTGAGTCAGCAAAACAAAGAAAAACCTTTGTTGGTCTTTGAGGGGAATCTGCCAAACCAGTTGATGCCCACAGCCACAGTTCTTTGAGAATAAGGCCCATAGTGCTCCTTCTGGTACTAGCAACCATCACCAGCTGATCTGGGGTGTTGAGGATGGTGAGCTGGCAATTTATAACACCATATCACTCTCTTAATGCAACCCATCAGTTTCTTCAAGTCTTCCCCTCATTATTGTAAGTTTTGGATTAGATTCCAGAGTTCTGCAAAAGTTGATTCTGACAGTTTTTGGCATGGAACCTTTGAGTTACCTATTCTGTCATTTTTGGCGATGTCTTCTCTCTATATGTTTTTTTTTTTAATTCTCTAAAATAAAATGGCAGCATACAGTTATTTTTTAAAATTATCCTCTTTAAAAGAGTAATACAATATTATGTTTGCTTTCTCTCAGAAAGTTAAATAGAACACTTGGTTAATTGTGTTAGGTATATTGTCACAAATATTTGATATATTTGACTTGGTTTGAAAAAAAAACTTTTTTAGTTGCTTTCTGAAATATAGCTGTGGAAATTTCATATTTCTAAATATGTTTAAAAGGTGAAAATTATAGATGAACAGCAAAAGGTAATAAAAAGTCTTGTTACCATTGTGAGTAGTAACTATTTGGGTACTGTTTGAGTGCTTCTAAAAAGAATAAAT